GTGGGAGATGAGCGCCCGCCCAGCCCCTCACGCCGAGCCACGGGGCCACCAGGGACCTGCAGAGCAGCCCGTCCAACCTGCCCCTGGGTGGGTTCCCAAGTGGTCCCGTGCCCTGGCCACCCCCCAGGGACAGGGGACTCCTCGGTGGGCACCCACTGCCCCCCTGGGACGTGCAGTTTTGGCTGCAAGGGGTGAAATGGGGTGCTGTGGGGTGTTAGAGGAGGGGCCGATGGTGCTGATGGGTGCCCGTGTCCCACCAGGGTTCCTGGGCGAAGGCGACGCCATCACCAAAGCCATCCAGGACGCGCGGCAGCTGCTGCACGGCCACAGCGGGGCCATGGAGGGACCCCTGAGCAACCCCTACCGCAAGGTGAGGGACGTCCCTGTGTCCAGGTCCGTCTGTGAGCGGGCAGTTCCCAACCCTGCGCTCTCCTGCAGGACCACGTGGGGATCGATTCATCCCCGGTGAAGGAGAGGATGGAGGAGACCCCTGCCCACCGGCTGGACGAGGCTCTGTTGACCTGCGAGATGGACGGTAAGGATGGTTGAGAGCCCTGCGATGTGACCCCCGTCTGCTCCCTCCTCCGGCTCCTGACCGGGGCTGGGCTTTCCCTCGCAGGCTCCCGGCATTTCCCCGAGTCCAGGAACAACAACCACATCAAGCGGCCCATGAACGCCTTCATGGTGTGGGCGAAGGACGAGAGGAGGAAGATCCTGCAGGCCTTCCCGGACATGCACAACTCCAGCATCAGCAAGATCCTGGGTGAGTGCTGAGGGGCAGGACTCCCCCTTTCTCCCCAGGAGGGGCTCGAGTGCTTGCTCTGCTCATCCCAAACCACCCACATTTGGGTGATGCCCACCAGGATGATGCTGCCCCCGTTGGAGCATCACTCTCAGAGGTGTCTGTAGCAGCTTGGGCATCCAGCCGCTGTCTCACACCCCCCTCGATAGCAGTGATGCTGCTGTGGCTCTCGGTCACACCGCTCCTTCCCCGTGGCCACGTCGCTATTAAAAACGAGCGGTTTGGTGGCCAAAACGAGCCCGTCTGAAGGGTTTGGAGCGAGCGTGCAATGTGGGATGCAGCCGTGCCGTGGGTTACCTCCGACACACGCACCTCGCTTTACCACGGGCTCGTTTTAGCAGCTCTGCTCGTTAATTTAAAAAAAAACAAAACACCAAACCCAAAAAAACCCAAACAAAGGCCAAGCTTTTCCCTTTGAAGGGTCGTGTGGGCAGGAGCTGCTCCGCTTACCTCTGGTGACCGCAGGGGCTGGGGGGAGGTCTAGGAGGGGTGAGCTGCTTGCTGTCACGGTGCATGGCTGTGGCTTTCAAATAGCTGGTGTGGGTCAGGCTGGGGAGCCGGGGCTGCTCGAGGGGTGCAGATTTAGCACACGGATACCTGCAAATGGACGAGTGGTCCATGGCGCCTGGTGGGGGGCTGTTCTAGCGTGATCTGCTTCTGGAAACGTGTCTGAGCCGATGTGAGGGGCTGAGGATAGCGGGAGGGAGCTGGTGGAGAACGCCTGGGCACTGTGAGCAAGAGGCTTGCCTGCCTCCGTGCCTCAGTTTACCTGGGACATGCGGCTGTGGGTGCAGGTGTGGGAGGTGGAGCTCCCTGGGGGAGCTGGGCTGTGCCTGGGGGTGAAGGACACCCAGGGAGGGGCACACAGAAGGATTTGGGTGTTGGGGGGGTTGTCTCTGGAGGTCCCCAGTCTGCTCAAACTCCGTAGTCCCATCAGGTTGCTCAGAGCTGCGTCCTGTTGACTGTTGAGCATCCCCAAGGTTGTTGAGGGTATCCAAGCATCTCCAGCTTGTCCACCTTTCTCCCAAAATGGGCACTGCTTTGGCTGCATCCCACTAAGGGGATTAATCCCTTCTCTCCCCCAGCCCAGCCCCGAGCCCCCCAGGCCCAAGCCCCTCTCCCAGCCTTTGCCAAGAGCCGGGTTTCCTCACCCAGGTAGGGTAGGGTGTAAGC